TGCCATGAAATATTGAGGAATAGGTGAACCAGACACTGTTTTCTTTTGCATGGTTTAGGGGTGAGTAAGATTTCAGAATGAGGTTTCGATGTTACATTACACCCAAAACTGCTGGGTGGGTTGCTTCTGACGAAACTGTGTAAAGATCGACTCTTCGAATACATTTTGACATATCCACCACTATAAATTCTCTTTCAATGCTTACCATAGTGCGTTGCAGGTTACACCCATTCTATATGTCATCAAAGGTTGGACTGCACTGAATGTTGAATTGTAAAACGTTCTTACGAGAGTCCATAGGAGAGACGCGGTCGTCCACGACATTCACAAGAACACGCCGCCATTTGACCAGTGGTTCTGCTACTCGCTGAGGTAATCGAACAAAACCGTTAGTCACGACGCTGGTCCTGGAACTCATTGTGCATTGAAGCTGACTCATTTGTTCAAGGCAAACTTGTTTATTTACTTCAGTGATTTATAAGTGATGTGAACAAGTGTGTTCACGACTAGAACCGGCCACCAAATCATAGATGTCTTTGAAATTACTTGACTACTCTCGATCCATCGGCAGGGTGGGTAGGAAGTATGCGCGTCTTCTTTGCCATATTTTTTCTGCATTTAGACCAAGTTGGCAGGTTCATCATAGATACCGTCTCGTAGCATTTTCCCGTACTTTCTAAAAATGCGTTCCCTTCTAAGTTTTTTTATAGTTGTGCGACCGTTCGTCACCTGCGAATGCGATCACGTAACACGCGCAGTTTGAGCTCCGCCACTAATTCCAAGCTGAAGTCTTCACTTCAAAGTGACCAAAGGACTGGGATTCTTCGAAAACCGGGAGGCAGTTTGGAGAAAAACATGTCCCATTCACTTGTTGTAAAGAGAATTGAGAGTAGTGAGGCTCCGGAGTAGATGACAAAAGTCTGCGGATCATTCACGGGAGCATCCAAAATATCGTGTTAGGGAGCTAAGGGCTTCATAGTTACCGAACATAGGGAAACAACATCTTGATCAGAGAGGAGCCAAGGAAGGAAGACTTTGACTTGCAATTAAGAGATAGCGTGCGCGTGGAGAAATTGTTGTTTGCAAGTGAGAAATTCTTTCACATTTAACGCAACAACAGCGGTCACACAAATATGAACTTGAACCAGCCCGCCTTGAAAAAAAACCAGCCACGCGATGGAAATCGTTCTCGATATGGCTCACTGTTGAGATCGAAATAATCGCTATAACATTATGAGCCTCATCGAGTGTTGACTATCAAATGATAACCATTGTTCGAGGTCTAGAAAAGGCTGCGCGTTCGAAGGTGCCTTGATTGCAATCAAGACATTACATCTTCTCGATCATATTTCAAACTCGTTCATGAAGGACTATCGGCGTTCACTGCATCAACTATGTTTTAGGATTAAAAATGTATCGAGAAAGCCAAAAAAGAGTATCCATTCTCACGCTATTAGACACTAACTCGATCTAACTCATTCCGTTATTTCAATCTGTTAACGGCTACATTTCTCATGATTAACACATTGAACGCAGCGGCGTTTTCGGCGAATTCCGTTTTTACTCTCTCGCGTCTCGCGCGTTGTGAATGCGTGCAAATCACACAACGCACGAACACAGATCTTATGTGCCTCCGCAAAGACCCTTTACCACGTTCAATTCTGGTTATACTTCTGCGCACATTTCTACATTGTATCTTTATGAAATGCATGACTAAATCAATTTAGCTGCATAGATGGACTGGGACAACGTAGAAGATAAACGCTCAGTTTGACGACTAAGTATTGTTTATCATAATCAATTAAACACTCTGTAACATTAACCTTATTATCAAGTAAAAAGTGCTTCACTAACCATTGTAAGAGATGCGACGCTCTCATAAGAAGTGCAATAACGACCGCGCCACTGCATTGTATTTGTAATAACTTAATGAATATTACTTTCAAGAACAGACTTATTTCACGCCCATCAAAAACTAACATAAGCCAAAGCTCACTGAACATATACGTGGTGAAAATGATTCAAGTCGCACTCATACCCACGAAAAAACCGACCCACAAAACGTGAATTGTGGGCAATACACAAACGCGAGAAACGGGGATTAATGCGGCCTGTCACTGCATAATTCACCGCGGCGTTCAATGCTAGTTAACAGTTGCGACTGTTGCAAGGATAGACTATGCCAACTTAGGAGTCCTTTTAGTCAGGAATTGAAGAGACTAATAAGACTGCAATCCAGCTGACTTCGGATGACTGCTCGATACTGCCTGAAAGGAGTAACATCATGAGCAAATCATGAGGGGGAAGGATAATGAGAGAAAATGCAAAAAAGAATAAAGAAAATAATGCACATGACCATTTTGAGACCTCCTCTTCGTTGGTCCAGAAAAGCGATTCTAGAGTGTCAGAATTTTCCGTTATGACCTAATAAACTAAAGAGCATGGTATCATGCCTTTACAGCGAACTCAGAAAGCCCACTAGATTGGCAGTTCTCCTCCGAGCTCGTTTTGATCTCAGACTTTTCTTGGAAAAACGCTTTCCGATTGCGCCACGTACGTGGAGAACATTTGACAGAAACTAAAAAAAAACACTTTTACTAATGCAGTCAAGCATATATGCTAATGCTATATGCTAATGCATAATGCTGACGACTAACTTCTTCAGCCACTAGCCGACTTCGCCGAACAGCACTTCTCATCCTGGTACTTAGAGGATCACCTAAAAAAATTCGTAACGAAATGGGGGTAAAAATGGCCGAAACGCCACGTGAGAGGTCAAAAGAGTCAAAAGACAAGGTGTATAGTTTATCCTCCTATCTTTCTATCTATCTTTTGTATTCATATTAGATACATTGCCCCACAGAGCTCTGCAATTCGTATTACGTAACATTCCGGTAACTCTGTTCTTGAGTCACGTTTCTCGTTGGCGGAGATTAATAAATTACACAAGAAAGAGCCACCAGACATTAGCGAAATTAGACCTGAGGGCACTTCATATGAGCCGCCAAAGGAAGCAAAGCTTCTTGAATGTTCGGGCCGTTGATCTATCGCGCTGGTACTTGGACGAACCGTGGTTCGTCTAGTGTCGAGATCCGAGATTCCTCCACATGACACCTCTTTGACGCGTTGATTTGTTCTCTCACTTATTTGATTTGTATTCTTATTGATTGTTACGCCGCACTTAGACAAATACGTGAGTATACTCAGTCAAAAAATATCTTTTCATTAAAGATATGACAGCTTCTTGATCATCTTTTGCGCTGTGATTCTGCTTGACACCAATAGTCGGGGAACACGAGCAAATCGCGTAGAAGCGGTCCCCATATTGAAAGCATGACTTGAGTGTCTCACAAATTCACGGGCATCCTCAGCAGCAGTCTCCCTCCTACTTACTTTTGAAATTTTGTGTAATTTATGTGGCTTTCAGAGTTATCAACCAATCTGGCCGATCATCACATATCGAGACGGAGTTCAACCCACTGACTGGAACAAGATTCAATGATCACGTGGTGTGTCTGACAACGTCAACCGAAAAAAGTGATCTACGATTTCGACAAGGCTTCACGACACTACAATATTCTGACACGCAAGAAATGGAAGAAAGCAGTAGACAACCATCAACAGGCTGCACATCCGTCGGTAGCTATGTATGGATGTATGGTGAATGAATGAATAAATAAATAATCACTTGTTTCTACACCAACAGACTTCAGGTGGCAGAAGTTGGCGCTAACCGGTGCATGCAGTGCTCCTGCACTCATCGTATTTTAAGCGCCTCAATCACTTGTTGGTTGATGTTCTAGTAGTCTGCGAGTCCTTGGTTGGTCGTTGAGGCCAGTTTTGTCGTTCCTTGAATTGTCACATGTTGCGACCTCATCATCGATTGTAAACTGTTCTTCAAGACATAATTTGACGCTGGGGTGCTCGAATATTGTTGGCAGGAGCAACTCGAAGTCTTTGCCCGAAATAATACTTATGAAACAGCGTGTTGCGAGTAATCTTTTCAGAATGGTCATACTGTAAGGGAGAAGCGTAAGTGCTAAGCCACAGTGATTGCAAGAAATTTCTGGAGAAATATAAAGAAAAAGAACCGTTTTGCTGGGAAATTTCGGGTGTAGGTTGGGACTCCACGAGGGGTCACCACGGCATGCCTAGCCCAGCGCGGCGATCACCAGCTGATTGGAGATCCGTACAGCCATGCGGCTAGGATCCTCCTTCACATAGTTTTGGCATCATGCCAACCTGCTTGGCATTTTGCCAAATAGCGAGAATGATCGATTGGAGGCCAATATTTCCCGACTGCTGTATTTCTTCAGCGGGCCGCTGTATTTCTTCCACGCTGCCTACTTTTCGCGTCTGTGGCTACTTCTTCTTCTGTTTTGACTGCAATCACTATCACTCACCACTTTGTTTTGAACCGTTTTCGGTTGTCTGTTTCTTTTGTATTATGCTACTGTTCCGATTTTGTTAGTGAATCCTTTTCTCCTCATGTTTTTGGTTCCCGTATTGCGCTTTCCTTGCCTTGCCCC